GATAAATCGTGAAAAAAGTTCATTTTGTTGCAATGAAGTTAAATATTCGGGTTTTAAAGTAAACAATCAAGGTCTTCAAGTAGATCTTGATAAGACTGATGCAGTAGTTAAATTTCCAACCCGCAAAAATGTTAAACAAATTCGACGATTCTTAGGAATGGCTTCTTGGTATCGTCGCTTTATCCCAGAATTTGCTACAGTTGCAGCTCCATTAAATAAATTGTTAAAGAAAGATAAGAAGTAGGAATGGGGTGACGAACAACAGCAGGCATTTGAAGAATAAAAAAAAGGCTAACTCAAGTCATTGATGGTAGTGAGAGGGTGATTGCGTATGCAAGTAGATCAATGATAGATGCAGAGAAAAATTATTCAGTGACTGAACAGGAATGTCTGGCAATCATCTGGGTTATTCAAAAGTTTTATTGTTATCTGGAAGGTTATTCATTCACGGTTATAAGAGCATAGCAGCTTGAGGTAGTTGCATAACGTCAAAAATCTAACAGGTCGTTTAGCAAGGTAGGCCCTGGAACTGTTGCAATATGATTTTACAATTGTTGATCGTAAAGGAGCATTGCACCATGTTCCATATGCTTTATCGCGTATTCCAGAAGACGTAATGGAAATAGTAAGATTCATTGAAGTTACAGAAGATCGTTGGTATCTCCGCCGATTTAGAGATGTTGAAAAACGACCAGACAAATTCCCCGATTGGTGTGTTGAGGAGTCCAGAATGTATTTTCATCGACCGTCCAACTTTTTCAATGTCGAATTAGAAGATCTAGATGCTTGGCAATTAGTTTTACCAAGGGAAGCTAGACTAAGAGCGCTCCAGGAAGGTCATGCCAGTCCTCATGCTGGTCATCTCGGTATTGACAAAACATATAGGCGATTATACATTAAGTATTATTGGCCACGTATGTTTAAGGATTTTCTAACATATGTTAGAAGTTATGAGATATGTCAGCGAACCAAAGTTGAGCAAACTTGTCCGGCAGGGTTCATGGATCGTAGAGTCATCGAAGAACGATGGTCAGTTATTGCTGCTGACATCATGGGTCCATTACCTCAAAGTAAATTTGGTTTCGCATATGTTCTATTCATTCCAGACCTTTATACTAAGTGGATTGAGATCCAACCCCTTAGAAAAGCTAATGGTAATCTAATTAGTAATTTTCTCTAAGAATTAGTCATTTCCTGATGGGGATCACCGAAAATTCTACTTACAGACAATGGTACGGAATTCTGTAACAGAAGTATTCAAACGCTAGCGAAAGATGTAGGTTTCAGGCATACCACTACACCACCATATGATCCTCAGGCCAATCCAGTAGAACGTGTGAACCGAGTCATCAAAACTGTGATCATCTCTTTCATTGAAGGTGATCAAAGAGAATGAGACAGATACCTTCATGAGTTTCGCTTTGCCCATAATACTGCTCATCACAGTTCAGTTCAAGCATCACCAGCTTTTCTTAACTTTGGCCGAGAACCACAAGCAGCAGTTCAATTACGTCGAGAGCACAGAGAGCACAGAACAATAGTGACGGAGCGACCAACTACAGAATGGCTCCAGAAAATGAGACGACTAGATGGTCTGAGAGCTACAGTAACACATGCTCTAGATGCGGCGTTCTAAAAGCAAGCTCATTATTACAATCAGCGACGACGAAATATAGAATTCAAGGTTGAAAATCTAGTTTGGAAAAAGTATTAGTGCTATCATCAGGTGCTCAGCATTTTTCAGCGAAGCTATCACCGCCCTACCATGGACCCTTCCGAATCACCCGGAAGATATCTAAGGTTGTATACGAATTATCAGATCTTGATGGAGCAGTAGTGAGAGAATATGCCATCAAAGATCTGAAACGATACAAAACCCCTTTATTCAACCAACAACTTTTTTTTGTGTGCGCGGCTATAAACGTGACACAACCTAACTCCCAGAGGAAGTATTTCCCTGGTGATATAACTATGATTTTTCTTTATTCCCCTACTGTAGATAAATTTTTGAAATCGACCTTTTAATAATAACTTGAAAAATATATTTATTTTTCGTTCTTTTCTCCTACATCATGATGTTTTGTATATGTGGCTAAGACAATTGTAATTTACAGGTACTCCGGAAAGATACAGACGTGGATACAAGAGTCTATGGAGGAGACGGACAAAGAACCATCACCAGAACCACAACCGAGGAGACGTCGTGGACCAGGAGGGCTGAGGACCCCGGAACCCAATGAGGACATAACCTTTGATGATGACCCACTATAGGACCCCATAAGGCCATATGTTCCATCCCTAGTATGGCTAGATGAGTACAAACCAAGACTAATTAAGGCCTTAGGGACCATGGCTCGAGCTCTCAGCCATAAAGACAACAACGAGTGTCCCCTAGAAGAAAAATTCGGAATTAAAGTTCGGCAAGCCTTACCGGGGGAAGTAACGACAATACCGGTGATGCACGATGCAAAGGTACAAACGGAAGGGGTACTGCAGCCAAAGAAACCAGATTTGGCCGCCTATTGTTTGTCCTTTCTGTCACTCGGTTTAGCCCTTAATCCAAATGTCACGGGTACTTTAAGAAAGATCGAACACCCTACCTCCAAAGCAACCGCCAGACTCAACCAGTAATGCATCAGTCGTGGAGATGGAAGTAGAGGAACCACCCATAATGCCAACTCAAGAACGCCCAGAACAGGATTTAGTTATCACCGGTGACACAGAAAGGCCGTGTTGGAATTGTCGGATGGGAGGACATCGATACAGTCAATGTCCACGACCCCGACAAAGATTTTGCCAGCGTTGAGGATGCAAAGGGGCACAGTCCGCACCTGTTTATATTGTGCACGGTATTGGAAATCCTTGGGGCCCTACGTACCAGCGTATGGGCGAAATGTACCCCGAGATGATCAAGGCGATAGGGACTACTATCGTCCCCATTCCACTCAAGATGGGCGCCTCTATAGACCAAGAAATCAGGGATGAAAAGCACGCCCTCATTGTCAAAGGCAGTTATCGCTTCTTCCTAGAGTCTACTCCATCTTTATTATTAAAACTAGTATAATACAGAAAGCTCCAGTTACTGATTTGCTCGTAATGCACATAAAAGCTATAATATGCTTCCGTTCTTTCCTTTTTATTATTTATTTACAATTTATAGACTGCTCCAGTACTTTTATTATTTATTTATTTCTTCTTGTTTACGTAATCAATTGGAAAATAATGCAGTTACTACTTTATTCGTTTCAAACAGCAGCTAACATAGGGAAAGGAAAATAGAATAATGTTTAAGTGTAAATGTTCGAGTAAATTAATTAATAATAATATTTGTTGAATAATAACTAACATGGGTTACTCTGACTATAATATAATAGTCACCCTTCCTATGACGATCCTGAACAATAATTCTCGAATTAACCCCTTAGATTAGAGAAAGAATATAATTTTGGTGGTAGTACCTCTCCCGGTGAAGTATAAATACTCCTTGTATCTCAGGCGTGGGTGCGAGTGGCCGAAAATCACAGTTCATCTTGAGTACTAAAGTCAGGCCACAGTAAGAGAGTTTTGAGGAGCTCCAGTGTAGTATGCAGTAATAGTGATGTGATGTAATATACGGTGTATGTGTATGATTAGTCAAAGTAAATCATTGCAAACCACTGCAAATCATCAGGAAGTGACTGATTGGCACTGATTTATCCTAAGTGAAAACATATATACAATGTACCTATATGTACTCCTGTATGTACAGCAGTGTACTACGTCTTTTATTTTTTATTATTGATACACAGCAATTATCTGTTCAAAAATCATGGACATCTTTGAATTGTACTAATTTATTCAATGCTTACTGCTACATTCATTATAAAGAAAATTTCAAGAATTGCTCATTTTTATATAGTTCCATGTAGAATTTTTTATAAGATGAGAATTTGCATGCAAACATAAATCCAAAGATAACTTATATTTATCAATTATTGTCATTCAAAAACAGTAATTAGTGCAATTTACGGTTTATTTATTACAAAAAAGTATGCAATTAAACTTTCAATATAATGATAAACAAATGCAAATATAGTAACTTACACGTACAATATAATTTTATAATCAACGCTTACATATGTCTTCGTTTCCATTACCACTACGTAACTGATTCATAATGAAAGTAGTTTTTACTTCATTCCACGTCAAACACTTGTATTTGTTTGTATATTTACGAATTTTAAATGCATAATAATGTTGCTCAAAATGGCATTTTATAGACTCTACGATAATCAACACTTGATTGACTTTTTATGTTAAAATATATTTTACTACGTGAAAATTTAGACCATTTTCAGTACTATCTACCAATACGCTATCAGCAACAACGTGATGTGTATTGAATTCAATATGATTGCGTAAAATTATCGTTTCTTTATTTATTGTTGGTGGAAATAGTGTCCTCAAATCTTTAAGAATGAACAAATCGTCTTTTTTTAGGACCAGGAGTAAAATCTAATGGTGGTTGAAAAAAATTAAAATAATGATTAAGTTTCAACTGGTGCTTTGTAGCAATAGTATTACATATATTTATTCGATTAATGGATGCATGAAAAATAGTATTAGCCTTTTTATTCTTACTTTCATACCTCATTGATGATAAATGCCACAATGGACCAGACGATTTCATGATTTTAGAATAATGTACCAAAAAATGGTGTTTGTGTTTCATAATATTGGGAAATAATCGATTTCGAAGGTTCAAATATTCATCAATAATGCAGTTCAGATAATCACAATAACCGTATTGATGAAATCTTGCTGTAAGAAAAGTAGTTATTTCAGTTAATTGTAAAACTAATTCTCAGTGTTCTGAATTTTCTGGTATTGAATGGCCTATAATCAGAGTTAAATTTCGTATTAAACTAAGCATTTTAGCTGCATATATAATGATTCTTTAAATAGTCTTCTGAAATTTCAGGTGGTTTATTTTGACGATCGTGATAGCTGTAACAAAAACTGTTAATCAAAGAATTTAGTTCATTTAATTACCAATCTGAATTTCTTATAAAATGATCAAAAATTAATGCCAAATCGTATTACCAAACACCTTCTAAAAATCGTGCATTACATCCGCTGATAAATTCTCCGTAAAATGAAATTCAGACAATTCATGGAAAAAACACCGTTCTTTTATACCTGTTGCAGCTACATTATTTACTAACAAACCATTGTAGTAATTATCTTTATTTTGGAAGTTACATAATTCTTCATTAAATACTTTATTAATATCATTTTTATTAATTAGACAAAAGCGACAGAAATAATTAGCGGAAAAGCTCTCTACCAAGCCAAACAACTCATGGAGACCTAAATTATCTCCTAATATTAGCGCTAATTCAAAATATATTTATATTTTTTCATGACCGTTTCCAACTGTTATACCTGTTTCTTTTAAGAAAATTAGCTCTTTCATAACCATACAAAATACTTTTGATTTGGAAACAATTTTCCTATCTAAACTATTTACTAATGAAAGCAAATAAATATTTGCTTATTTGGAGCGATATTTTGAAGGCAAGCATAAAATACTGAAATACAAAGCTCCACATTTTTTACTACCACGATGACAACCAAGCGGGTTGTTGTTTTCATAGTCATCGAAGTGTAAAGCAATAGGTAAAATTATTTTGCCATTTGATTTTATTTTTTCAAAAGTCTCCTTGAATACAATTATGAATAATTTCACGCTTCTCTAATGATTTGATGTATTTCAAGGTATCGTTCAATACACACGGTAATTCGAAAAATCTGAAAAGTACGTGTCGAATTGGTATAAATTCCGAAGTCAATGGAACTTTAGTAAGAATTGTCAAACCTTGTTTCATCCGATATTCGTCACGATAACCAATAATTTGATGAATCGGTTTAATGAATGTTCCGATTGATTCAAAATATTTAAATGATTTAAATGAAGAATCAAACGACTCAAAGGGATTTTGAAATAAATCGAACATACTTTTAATGTTTAACTTATTTTCAGGATTTTCATTCAATGAATTTAAACGATACAAAATTGTGTTACGAAGTAAGTTTATACAATCACTATTCAGAAATGAAGTGAAATCTTTGATCAGCATTTCAACGCGTTTTCTAGGCAAATCCGAAAAACTATTAAGCTTGGATGCCAGTTTTGTAGCCGATAATTGTAATAAATCATTAAAACTATTTGATTGAACTATTATTTGCTGCTACATAATTGTTAATAAATTCATTCGAATCCGAACTTTCTTGGTATTTATCATGAATTTTCAGGACATCTTCATTAACTTTTTCATCTAAATTATTAGAAGCTGATACATTTGGCGAGTTGGTGACATTAATTTCATGATCAGTATCATGAAAGTGATCAACTTTATCAATTGATATTTGATTATTGAGAGTTTTACCATTAGTGTTGACACCATGTTCTCTTTTTCGATGACTAAAATAACTATTGGATAAAGAATAAGTTCGATCACAATTCTATTCTGTACAACGATATGCAGATAAATTTAGATGAAATTTTCCAACATGATCAATGAGTATGGTATCACTCTCCATACAAAGCCCACAAGCAAAACAATGGAACATTTCTTGTAAACAATATTAAAGTAAAAAACACTTTGAAATTAAGTATCTAAATAATTATTGTTTTCTTTTATTTTTTAATAATCAAATCAAGCATTAAAACAACTATGTTTATAATAATATTATGTATTAACTAGGAAAGATACTGAACAACTATGAGTCAGATTAGTTTTAAAGTACTATATGTCATAAAAAAATATTATAACTCCACTTAACTAATGAAATTAATATCTCTTTATGAATCAATAATTTGAACATAAAATCAAAATATACAAAAAAAAACTTTACTATTATAGAACGTTTGCTTTATCTGTAAACGCTAAAACTGTCATATTTATATAAATATTATATATTGATTATGAATGATACTGAAAATAGAACTCTGACGCTCTAACCTCATATCCAGCATAATCTCGATATTGAGTTTATTGGTGTTTGTTTTTATACTACATGCTTGGATACGCCGACTTGGAATTGAGCTTCCTTATTAACATTTATACCTAATAAAAATGATAATAATGGATGAATATATGTATTTGAAGTTATTTGCAGGTATTATATTAATTAATGTTAAATGAGTATCATCATTTTCATTTATTCTAACTGCAATAGTCATCAAAGTATAAGGCATTGTAAAGCGATACACTATGTTTACATCACATACATATATTACCCGTACACACTCATACACAAATTACTCACCAAAATGCAGGGCACCATCAGTTCTGGATACGGATTGAGCATTTTTTCAATATAGATGACTGAGGTCATCTGCGAGCATAATGCTGTCACCTATCAGAATTTTTTCAAACTAATTTTCCGGAGAATATAATCTGGAATACAATATTTCTAATTATTTCTAAATTATTCAATTTTATACTATGAATTGATTTTTTTGACATTCAGACAGGTGGCAAGGACTGACGCAAACACGAATTTTGGGCGAAAAACGTATAAAAATAGAATAATTAGTGATTTTTCATCTGAATGATGTGGCCGCCATCTTGAAATTTAAGCGCGGCAAGTCAATTCATAATTTGTTCATTATTCTTTCTAATTTTTTCAATAAAAATTTTCACTATATACAAAAAATTGTCATTTACGTCAGTCCGGCATTAATTCCTCTGTAATTTGGTACCTAATTTTATAGAAATAATCGTAAATTGGCGAAGAAATTAGAAATATCCCGATCCCATGTATTTGGATAGGGGGAATCAGTCGCCTTTCTGACTTCAGCCCAGCCTTAAAGTCGCTTTCCTCTTCATGAGGTATTAGGAGAGCATAAACGCGAGAAGGTATTGTTAGCCGTGCGCCCCACTCTGCCGGCCCCCGTCCATCCCACCGCGCTAGCGATGACGGGTGACCTTGCCGCGTGGCAACCTCAATCCTATTTTATTTAAAAACTACAGATTGCGTAAAAATTTTATAAAAACAATAAATTCTACCTTAATGGCATGATTAATTTTTATTAAAAAGATCCCTGGGTTGTCAGGGAATCAATTCGATTATACTTAAAATTATAAGATTAAATTGCTAGACACTAAGTCCAAGCGCGTGCGCATTAGCTTTCGCCTGCTGCACGTACATGTGCGTTGGACTTGGTGGTGGTTGTTACCTATCTGTTTAAAGTTGTAGATGTAATAGTATTTTTATTTTCTGTACTTAAAATCTAAGTGAAGTTCGTCAGGACGTAACAAGTTGTAATGAAAATATACCGTTTCCACTGGAATCGAATGTTGGCGGAAGAAAAAAGAAACCTGTTTTTCAAATCTTGTAGAATCACGGCCTCAAAAAATAAATCACTCAGATAATCCACTAGATGGCAGAAATATGACATAATTGAACGAACAAAATAACTACAAATTACAAACTAAAAAATAAATGTACCCAAAATTACTATTTTTTGTATTTCTCCTTAAAACAATGAACATATGTAATGAAATCTTAGTTTGATATGTTGAAAACAGCATTAGGGTGAGATAAAGGCGAAAATTCACTCGGTTCGACATCACAGATCAAATGTAAATATTTGCAACCTTCGCATAGACCTAACTGATGCTAAACGTCGTGGCTACAGTCTTTAATAATCTTTTTTATTATTAATGCAGTCAGATAGCTGTTATTTAATTGTTTAGAGATATTTAGTAGGGCATTAAGGAGAGTTGGGGACCATAATTAACTCGGTCTACCATGACGAACAATTAAAAAAAAAATTCTCAAGCTACGCGACAGCCTAACTGATGCTCAACGTCGTAGCTACAGTCTTCTATAATCTTCTTTATTATCAATGCAGTCTAATAGCCGTCATTTAATTGTTTAGAAATATTCGTAGAGCATTGAGAATAGTTAGGGACAATAAATAACTCGGTCTACCATTATAGACAAATATAAAAAAATACCCGAGCTTTGCGTAGATACAACTTATGCCGAACGTCGTAGCTACAGTATTGAATGATTATTTTTATTATCAACGCAGTCTGATAGTTGTTGATAATTCATTTTGCAATATTCAGTAGAGCACAAAGAAGCGTAAATGAATCATTTAAAAGCTTGCCTATTGATTAAGTATAGTTTCATGATGGAAAGATTAGTGAAAAAATTTCTATTTTTGACAGATTTCGCAATATAAATATCGAAGCACCTGGATGTTGCCAAGTTAGTAGATTTTTGATATTGTAGCTGATGACTCAATTGAGCTAATAGTTATAAAGATTAACATATATGTGCACTTTATAGACAAGAAAAGAATTAAGGATTCCAGTAGATAATAGTGATCCACGGCGCTGCAACATACCGTTTTTTTAATCGGTGATCTTGCATATCCACTGCTTCTATGGCTAATAAAGGGATACACGCAACAACGAAGGTTAACGACCGCGGAATTGACGTTCAATTCATAGTTAAGTCGTGCAAGAGTCAACGTTGAGATAGCATTTGGAAGATTGAAGGCACGTTAGAGAGTACTATCTAAAAGTGTTGACATCCATCATTCCTTTGTGCCAGATATTGTTGCAACATGTTGTGTGCTTCACAACATGATAGAATCGGCACGGATACCAATTAATCCCGTTCTGTTGGTAGAAGCAGAAAACGATAATCTATCGTACCCTCAACCAAACCAAAATGGAAAAATCAGTGATAAGGAGTATATTAATATGTTGGATTTGATTAAAAATATAAATAAAGGATAATTAATTAATTAATGTATATAACAAAAACTATTTTAAGTAGAAAATATTGTTCTTTTTCATTTTATTCAAACCAAAACATTTAGCTTTTAGAATTTCCAGTTCGAGATTTTCTCGCGCTAACTTTGTTTTTAGATATTCTTTTTCTAATGCTTGGTTTTCAGTTAAACTTTTTTTAAGTAATTGAAAAGCTTCTACTTTAAGAGACGTTAATTCGGTTGCAGACCACTTTTGTCTTGATGCATTAGTAATGCCCGTGGATGTACTAGGAATTGGCTGTGAAACATTACTGACGGCATTACGTAAAGGAGCACTCAATGATGCTTTTAACTTCTTCGGGTCCCATTTGTTCCATTTTTCTATTTTTTTTGTTTGAAGTAAATGCTGTAAAAAATAATAACTAAATGTTTCTTATTTAAATTATCATTTTGTGTCACAATTAATAACTAAAAATCTATGAAAACTCAATAAAAATTAATGCATGTATTAAGATCTAAAAATTCTAGAATAAAATGAAATAATTCAACTTACATCAAACACTACTTTGTTAGGACATTCATTTTCAGCATCACTATCGAATATATTCTGTAGGCCTTCTACAGAGAATGGATGAATTATTTCCAATGCTGCCATATCAATTACACTCATTTGACCTGTATTAACACCTCCACCTGTAAAAATTAGTATTAATGATAATTGATAGTAAGTCTGGATTCGAATTATTATTGATTTTATTTATTATTAGGTTACCTGTAGCACGTGTTTGTTGCTTAGATTGTGCTGCATTTTTTCGAGCACATTGTTTTATATGCTGCCAGCAGTTTCGCAAGGATGCAGTATTTCGTTTGAATACAACTTTCTTGTTGAATGTCTCCGTTATGACACTCCATGCTTCATCTTTTTCGAGATTTCCGACTGCATCAGTTCTCTTATTCTCCACCACTTTTGAATGTTGCTTTACCAAATCAATTAGTATTAGTTTGTCATCAACGGAATAATGTTTTTGTGACATTTCAATAATAATCTAGAATGAAATTACATTATTAAAATGAATCATTCATTTCCATTGATTCAAATGTATGAACATAAATGAGCCTTTAACCTTACTTCTTTCAATTTCTATGCTAATAACAATTGCTACTATTTATTTACATTTGTTCAATAAACGATTTTCTAGCTAATACATGATTCAGTAATAATACTTACTAATATTTATTGTAAAATAAGTGAAAGAAAAGTTATAAGGAGTAAAATTTACCTATTCAGTCTTATTCTTGTTTACAATCACTTTTGCCGGTCAACCATATTGAAATTTCTTTCCAAGAACATAAGTTACTTCACCAGAACTCGCCAGATGGCACAAATGGTAATTTCTTTCATTTTTGAAATTTTAAGTTGGTACACAATAGCAGTCTGCTATGTGGTGAAACTCGCCCTAACTAATTTCAGGTAACATTCGTTGCATACGCCCAATGTTCGTGTAATGTAACATCGCCACATCGATCTAGAGTAGCGGTAGATACTCGGCGCCAAGTGCACATTCACCTTTTTCCTCTCTCTCTCTTTCTCACTAGCGCGCTCTTTCCCCCATGAGCGCCGAGGCTACCGACTACTCTATACACGAAAAATTTTGTGTGACGTCATCAACGCATCTTTATATGCAAATATCTTTATAATTGTTACATATTATGATTTCATATTTAATAGGTAGTTATCTTATATCATGAGCTTCCAATTAAACGTTAAAAGAGAATTTTTTATTAATTATTAACGGAGTTATAAATAAGCCACGCCCCTAACAGCGATATTTCTGCTATTCAAGATTTTTTCGCTCGCTGTTTCACTTTACTTAATCGAGCGCTCTATCATGTGTTCTCTCTTACTGAATGTGTCTTTTGTCACTTTCTTTCACATTGGGCTCCCTACAGTGCCCTCTTTCTTGCGTTACGTATTGTTATCACTCTCTTTCACGTTAACCTCGTGATATTTCCTTCTCTCTTGCCTAACCAAGAGACATCTATGTTCTGAATAATGAAAAATGTTTCCCGCGTGTTGTATATCGATTTGAATAAACTTTTTTAGGAATTATTGGTAAAGAAAAGTTTTAAATGATCAATGAAAAATAAGTGTTTGTCGAATAATAACAACAAAAGAATATGATTAAAAAAAGTGAAAAGTGTTTCCCGCATGTTGCATATCGATTTTAATAGATTTCATTTGGAATCATGGATGAAATGATGTTCGAGATGATTGAAAAAAAAAACAATTATAATAAACATCCAAAATTGTTATAAATTTTGTGGGTGGCTTTAAATAATGTCTTATTGAAATATCATATTTTTCACTATTTTCATAAGACATTATTTTGTTGAACTTTTTCTATTTCAGAAAAATAAAAAACTGGCTTGGCAAAGTAATAAAAGAGCAGAAAATACACCTATGTAGCATAGGAACTACCTAAAATTGTTATAAATTTTGTGGTTGGCTTTAAATAATGTCTTATTGAAATATCATATTTTTCACTATTTTCATAAGACATTATTTTATTATACTTTTTTCTATTTCAGAAAAATAAAAAACTGGCTTGGCAAAGTAATAAAAGAGCAGAAAATACACCTATGTAGCATAGGAACTACCTAAAATTGTTATAAATTTTGTGGTTGGCTTTAAATAATGTCTTATTGCAATATCATATTTTTCACTATTTTCATAAGACATTATTTTATTGAACTTTTTTCTATTTCAGAAAAATAAAAAACTGGCTTGGCAAAGTAATAAAAAAGCAGAAAATACACATATGTAGCATAGGAACTACCTAAAATTGTTACAAATTTTGTGGTTGGCTTCAAATAATGTCTAATTGCAATATCATATTTTTCACTATTTTCATAAGACATTATTTTATTGAACTTTTTCTATTTCAGAAAAATAAAAAACTGGCTTGGCAGAGTAATAAAAAAGCAGAAAATACACCTATGTAGCATAGAAACTACTCAAAATTGTTATATGTTAGAGGTTATGAGGATTTAAACAATAATAATAAGACTTAGTTTAATTAGAAATTAGAACTTTATTTATCAATGAATATATTATTGAACCGTAATAGACGACCAACTTGAATCAAGTGAAGAGCACGACGAGAGACGTTAGCCGAAAGGCTACGGGGGAAACCGATTAGGGCCGAACACTCGTACAGGCCCTATACACTCAAATATGTCGGAGACGCTGATTTCCAACACTCCCTCCCGTCTTCACATATTTGCGTCAAGTCTCAAATCTCAAATACAAAATATGATATGTTTACAAATATATATGAACTTTTTAACAATAACAAACTTAAATCCAGTTATAGGAACAGATTCAGTCTTTTGGTTCCTTGCTTTGGCAATTGGTCGTCTCATTAACTTCTGTTTCTCCTCTCGTTTAACTCTCATTCTTTAGATTGATCAGATCCATTACCTGTAATTAAAACAAATTAATTTTCAAATGGTTTCAGTCGTTACATTCGTCACTCAGTATTGTCACTCGTCTTGTTCAACACAATTTCTGTCAGTCGTTTAAAAGTCCCATAGGGAAGAGGTTTAGTAAATAGATCTGCTATTTGATTCCTTGAAGGAATCCAGCCTATTTTAATGAAGTTTCTTTCTACACACTCTTTCACATAGTGTTCTCTCACTTCAGTCATATGTCTCAGCTTATTTCCACCACTCGTCTGTGCACTCGCCTCAGCTGCTTTGTTGTCACACCATAGTTGCATTGGAGTAAATGATTGATCCAAGATTATTTTAAGAGAATTGTTCATAGCAATCAACTCTTGACTTGCTTCGCTCATCGCAACGTATTCTGCCTGACAAGTCGATAGTGCTACATAATTTTGTTTATGAGACTTCCAGGCTATTGTATCTCCATACAGTTGTATTAAAAATCCACTCGTTGTGATGGAGCCTTTGCAATCAGCAAAGCTAGCATCCGAATACGCTCTTAGATCATCCTGATTAGACAAATAATTCAGTCCTACATCCGTCGTTCCTTTTAAATATCTAAACACTCGTTTCACCATTTTCCAGTCATTATCCACTGGATTTATTTGATGTCTACTTAGCACATTGACTGCATAAGCTATATCTGGTCGTGTTGCACCAGCCAGATACAATAGACTTCCAACAGCTTCTCTATACGGAATATTTTCATTCGTTTTTGTCACTCGTAGCAGCTCTGGATCCTCACTCTCTTCTCTAAGCTTTCGTTCTCTGTTGGCCGCCTGTGTTGTAATCATAGGAGTTTTCTGTGGATGTGATTCTGAAAAATTAAATCTCTTCAGTATCTTCTCTATGTACCGTTTTTGATTCAGGACCAATATTTTATTTTTCCTATCTCTCGTTATACCAATACCCAAAAATTCTTTTGGTACACCTAAATCTGTCATTTTAAATTCACTTTTTAATCGTTCTTTCACTTCTTTCAGTTTATTCTCATCATTACTTGCAACTCAAATATCATCAACGTACAACAGTAAAATCAAAAACTTCTTATTATTCCGCCAGGTAAACAAACATGGTTCTTCATTGCAATTAATCAGGCCTATACCTAGAGCTACTTCTGTAAACCTTTTGTTCCAACGTTTTGGACTTATTTTCAAACCATATAACGCTCGTTTTAGTTTGCATACTTTCTCTCGTCTGTCGGTATCACTTATTTCAATTCCATCAGGTATTTCCATGAAAATTTCCTCATCAATCGTCCCATTGAGGAAAGCAGTTTGCACATCTAGCTGACAAACTTCCAGATCATATTTATTTATAATGGCCAGCACAGCTCGAACTAGTGGTAGTCTGGACACCGGAGCATAAGTCTCTTTCAGCTCGTAGACGTTTCTGTCTTTGAACCCTCGTATAACCAGTCTTGCCTTGTGTCTTATTTCACCATCATCCTTTACTTTCCTTTTAAATACCCATCGAGAATCAATTATATTCGCTCGTTTACCATCACTCGTTAGTTTTGGTCGATCAATGATTTCCCACACGTTATTTTCCGACATTAATTTCAACTCATTATCTACTGCTTCTTTCCAGTAAATAGATTCACTCGATGACATGGCTTGTCTGTAGGTAGCAGGATCCTCATTTATTCTTGCCAGCATTGCACAATACATTTCATCTTCTAGGTTTTCTATTTTTCTATCATAGTCGTCATTTAGTTTAGATGTAAACATAATTTTACCTTCAATTTCTCTATCACTCATGCTTAATTCACTCTGCCCATTATTATTTGTTATTATGTTATCACTCGTCACATTCGTGTCTGTTATTACAGGATTTTTCCTAGGTCTTCCTCTTTTTCCTTTTATTGGAATCTCTCCCTCCGTTTTTAACTTATCAGTACATTCGTTTATATTTTCAGAGAATTCCACAAACCATTTGTCTTTTTCTGTTTTCCACTCTTCAATTGGCCAGTTTCTAATGCTGTCTTTACCGTATTTGTCGCCATAAACCAATTTCTCGTTAAATCGCACATCTCTGCTCTCGTAAAATTTTCCTTCTTCAGGTTTTAAAAATTGGTACCCAGTGGGAGTATAGCCAACTAACACCACTCGTCTTCTTTCGAAACGGAACTTTGGTCCAGTCTTCCGTTGAACTTTAATGTAGGCAATACAGCCAAAACGTTTAAGTTGGTTTATATCAAAATTATGATTTGGTGCAAATCTACTCATAGGAGTTATCATGTCATTTGCTTTATGAGGGGTCCTATTATAGGCATAGACAGCTGCACTCAAAGCCAAATCCCACATGTTCTCGGGTAATTTTGCATCATACATGTAGGCTCGCACCTTCTTCTGTATAGTCTGATTAAACCGCTCTGCAACACCGTTATGTTCAGGGGTATCAGGACTAGAGACCTGTAACTCTGCACCTAATTTATTTAAAACCTCTGTCGTATAACCACCTTTAAATTCAGTTCCCTGGTCAGAGCGTAAATAGCACACTTTGGCATCTTTTCCAAGCAGATTTCGCGCACTCTTCACAAATGCTTCAAAGCAAGCACCCGTATCACTCTTAACTTTCATCGCATATGCCATTGCCAATCGCGAATAGTCATCAATGAATACAGATATAAATTTGTATCCTTTAGGATGAGAAGGTGGACTAATTGGTCCCATCGTATCTGAATGTATAATCTCCAGTGGAGCATTCGCTCGTCTACGCACTGTTTTAAATGGCAACTTGTTTATTTTAGAAACCATACAGATCTCACAATCCATGATCGATTGATCGAACACGATCTTCTGAAGCTCTTTATTCTCGGGTAATTTTCTTTGCAATGCCTTTAAATAATTTACTGAAGCATGCCCCAGCCTGACGTGCCATAACATTGCTTTGTCATAATTTGTTTTATTATTACACTCGTTTAATGGAGATTCAATATCTGTTGTTTCTGTTACCGGCAATTCATTTGGATCGTTAATTTTCCTATCCCATATGGTTGTTTCAAAGTTAAAGTTTTGATACATTTTATTTTTCATGTTTACATTCTGATCATCAGTGATACTTGACTCAGTGTATCCAGTCAGAGTATTACTATTGGTCTTCCTTTCTCTGTCTTCAGTCTGTACTTTGTTCTCCCATTCGTTCACTCGTACCTCTTCACACGCTTCCACTCGTTTGTTTTCACCCGTTTTCTCTTGCCTGCTCTCAATCGTTTCCACTCTTTCTGTACCGTCTATCGTCTCATCTGTTGTTTTTGATTTCTTTGCTCTCGTACACTCATTATCATTTTCGCTCATATCTGTTCGGTTAATAAAATTTTCCTCAGCACTCGTTTTGTCTTCTGTCGCAATGTTTCGCCACATACATCTTGCTTCATTTACAGTTGTTTTGTAATCACTCGTCAAGTCAGCTAAAATATATTTGTTAGATCTTTCGCATATATTACTCTCGTTTCCAGCCGTATCTCGATTGATTTCCAGTTCAATAATCCAATAGGGTTTATTATAAACACCTGTAATGAATAGCTCATTCGAGACTGGATCAAATATATTTATCCTTTTCTTATCTAAATATATTGCTAATCCCATTTCAGCGAATTTTCTCAGGGACATAAGATTATCAGAAAGAGCCTCCGCAAATATAACGTTATCAATTTTCATAACTTTGTTATTGTCCAGGATTACTTCAACCTGGCCTACTCCCTCCGTTCTCAGGTCCGTTGAAGGATTTTTATTAGCACATTTTATTGTACCGTAGTCTTTTACGTCCAGGGTCTTAAAAATTATTCTAGAATTTGTGAGATGTTCTGTCGCACCTGAGTCGGCTAAGAACTTGGCTACTAATCTACCTTCGTTATTTACTCTTTCTCTATCATCATTATACTCGTGTAAAATATCATCGTTTCTTAACTTAGAGTTAATATCAGCCAAGAATGACTTACCCTTTGCAGTATCAGCTGATTTCTTATTCCCATCATTATTTGATTTGGGCTGTTTGAAGTTCTTATTAACATATTTGTAGCCACCTCGACCTTTATTTTGATTGAATCTGCCTCTCTTGTAATTATAACCTCTCGTATTATCGTCATTTCTCCTTTTCAATGTCTGTCGTCTGTCGTTAATCTGTCCAGATTTTTGTAAGTTTTTATTGTAATTATACCTGCCATTACCTCTTTTATAAACTCGACCACTCGTAGATCCTTGCTTCTTTAGTCTTTCCTGTCTTTGAGGACACTCGTCAGCCTTATGGTTTGTGAACTTATTACACTCGTAACATTTCACAACACCTGTTCCTTTTCGGGGGCAATCATAACTGACATGACCAAAATCAGAGCACTCATAACATCTCGCACTCGTACCTTTCTTAACTGTCATTGCTGCTCTGGTCTCTCCTGATTTTGTCTGATTTCGATTTGCCTCTGCCTGCATCAAAAACATTTTCAGACTCTCATAATCTAAACCCTTACCAGTCCCACTCACTCTTATAAACTCAACAGCTTGAACAGAAGGAACCGTGGTCATAATAGCATTATAAAATGTGTCGCGTTTTTCCTCCTCAGAAAAGGTCGCAGTGTCTGAGATATTCCCATAATCGCGTATGCAGTTTTCAAACCTTTCACAAAACTCAGAAGCACTCTCTTTATCTGGTGAATACTGCATGGTGTGAAAATTCCTTCTAATCATACTAGTAGTTAAATTCACCTCATATCGTTTTAATTCTTTTATTTTATTTAGTATTTCGACAGGATCTTTTAAATGAGCTACCTTTGTGTGATAGTATGACTCTAAACGATTTATGAGAATATCACGCACTTTGAATTTATGTTTTGTCAAAGTATTTGCATCATAATTTTTAGTCGGTTTTTCACTCGTGTCAATTACATACAATAGTTCAAGCGATCTCAATTCTGAAGAAAAATAATCGTAAAAGTATTCAAATTTCGTTTGATTAGTTAATTTGTAATCACGGCGCGTACCCACATCTTTACTTATTATCTCATACTTTATTGCATCTTTAACATCATCAGCTCTAACGTATCTGTCGTCATTCTGTCTTACATTGCTATTTAAATTGTGACCACTCGGTTCTCCCAGATTGATGTCTGAGCTTCTGTTCTGGGTCATGCAACTCACATCAGGTTCACACTCTTTTACCTGTTTTATATTACACTCGATTTTCTCTACTTGTTTACCCAGATCACTCATATTTTGTCGGTTACGACATAACTCTTCCATAATTTCTGATTGCCTTTTCTCCATGCTTTTCATAGTTTCAGTTAAGCTAGCCAACATTTTGGACTGCTGCAACAGCATATTGTCCATGGCATTGAAGCAAGGTATCCAGGCAGTCGCCTTTTCGTCAGTCTTTTGTTTAGTTTCTGTATTTGTGTCATCTAAACAATTTTTATTGTCAGATTTATTCAATAGTTTAGGAACGTTAAATTTCTTTAGAGATATTTTTACCGGTTTTGTCTCAATTATTTTAGGTAGACCTTTACCTTTTGTCTCAGTGGCCAACTGAGTTATATTATCTCCTTCTACATTATGAATCATAGCTCTCGTTGTGTTGACACTCCTCTTATAACTAGTTCCGTCATATCTAGTTCCCTCGTCACTCTTTCCGTCGTCACCACTACTGTCGTCATTCGTTCTGTCGTTACTGATTCTCTCGTCACTCTTTCCGTCGTCACCACTACTGTCGTCATTCGTTCTGTCGTTGCTGATTCTCGTAGCCAACCATTGTTCCTCTACAGGATCAACTATTTCCTGTTTCTTTACAGTACTCGGCAGCACAGCTTTCACACCCTGTTTCTTACATTTGTCCAGCCATACTTCTAGCGCTTTCAACTCCTCTTTGGTAACAAATGTTTTAGCTGCAATATATTGAGAAAGAATAAAAATCTGACATTTGGCAGGATTTTAAATCATGTCGTTAGCTGGATCCACCGAACACAAGTTTCTCCAGACTAAGACGAGCAAGTATACATTTACCCGAACACAAGGTTACACATATACAAACTCTACTCTCATACATAGTAGCCAAATGCACGGCACTCAACCACCAAGCATGAGTAATTTGATTTTAATGGTTTAAAAATTATTATTTAGAATGTCTTCAGACATTCATAGGTCTTTTATTATTCGTGCTTTAAATATGCACAGTTACTCGAGATTTTTAATAATTAAATTTACGATGCATCTTAATTATAATTTCATTTGTATAGCTATACATATTTTCTTGGAAATATTTCAAAAATAAAATAAAATACCCTTCGCTCACCTGCTTTGTACTCAACACTCGTCTGAGTTTTTAGTGAAATATAATTTTCATGCAGGGATAACTCAATTTCCTCATTTGGGTGTGTTAAGTTGGTACTAAATTTGTATCGCGCGACACCTATGTAAGAGGATGAGATAGTGGAGTGAGGCAGTTGGAGCATAGCTGTTGCCGAGTAGATATGTAAAATCATTTTATGTTTAATAAAGTTTACGTTTTGTATTATTTAAAAAACAGTAATTATTATTTAATGAGAAATCATGAATAAATTAACATGGTAGCAGAGCGTGGTTCGATAAAATCAAGAATTGAGTGAATAATTTGGTTGTTGAGTCAAGCTAAGGAAGGCAAAAGGAAAAGTGACGGTTGAAGTCTCCATTTTGCGGAATAGAAATTCGCGGAAAAATTTTTCAGTTAAAAATTTTTTTTGAAAAGGTACTAGTTTTGTGAGCAAAAATGTCAGACGAAATAAAAACTCCTATTTTTGATGGAAAAGACTATGAATGTTGGAAGAAAAGAATTACAATGATCCTGAAAATGAAGAAATGTGCAGATGTTGCAAATAGAAGACGTTTAGTGACGGACAAGGAGGAAGATTGGAACGAAATGAATCTGAAAGCAATAAATATAATATACAGTGGAATTTCAAATGATCAGCTACAATTTATTAAAGACATGGAAACGGCTTATGACATTATGAGGAAATTTGATGAGATGTATTTGAAACAATCGACTGCTCTTCAAATATGTGTAAGAAACAAATTGGAAAGACTTAGATTAAAAGATTTTGAAGATACAGCTACATTTTTTACTGAATTTGAAAAGTTAATTAATGAGTTAAAGAGTGCTGGTGCTACAGTCTCGGAAAAAGAAAAATTAAGTTACATGATCAAAATGCTCCCAAGTTCGTTGAGCTATGTTGGGGACCTAGTTGATGTTCTGAAAGAAAGTGATCAAACAGTCGAATATGTGAAAAGCAAAATTAAAATAGTTGAACAAAAAGAAAAAGAAGACAATGACAAGAATGGTGCAAGTGTATTCAAGACTGAGAAAAAACAAGATCAAAATTGTTTCAAGTGTGGGAAATATGGACATTTCAAAGCCCAATGCCCAAATACGAAGCCGGGCAGCAATTCATGGAAACCCAGGGGTGGCATGCATCAGCAAGGAGGCGGGCGACAACAAAATTGGCAGTATCGTGGCAACGGTCGAGGCAGCCGGGGTTCCAGTCAACATCGTCGTGGTGGCGGTTGGCAGCAAGGCTACTATCAGCGAACGGAAGATGGCAGCTCAAGTAGTTTCTGTACTGAGATTGAATCACATGAATCTATAGTAAATGGTTGCGATGATAAAGTAGAATGGCTACTCGATAGTGGATGTTCTGACCACATTGTTAATAATGATGAATATTTTTATGAATCAATTGTTCCTAAAACACCTGTAAATGTAAAAATTGCTGATGGCCGTATATTAAAAGCTACTAAAATAGGGAACATAATACATGAGTTCAATGTTTTTGGTCAAATAATAAGAAATAAAATGTCAAATGTATTTTTTGTAAAAGAAATGGATAAAAATTTAATTAGTTATGGTAAAGTTACTTGTAAAAACAAAATTGTATCGAAAGGAAATACTTGCAAAATTTATAATCCAACGGGAAATGTGATTGCAGTAGCATTCAAAGTAAATAATGTATTCCGTATGACTAGCAAAATTGTAAAACCTGAAGCAAATGTGACAACTGAAAATAATATGACTGAAAAAGAAAAATATCATAGAACACTAGGTCATGTAAATTTTAATTATTTAAAAACTATGTGTGATAAACAAGTATTAAAGGGTCTACCTAGAGAGCTAGAGTCTGATTATTTTAAGTGTGGTATATGTTTAGAGAATAAAATGCATAATTTACCATTTAAAAATGAAAGAACTAAGGCTAATGACATACTAGAAATTGTTCATACAGATCTGAATGGTCCTCATAATACTCCTGGATTGAATGGAGAACGATATTTTTTAACTTTTATTGATGACTTTAGTAAAGCGGCTCAGGTTCATGTAATAAAATCTAAGAGTGAAGTTTATAACTGTTTTGTCAAGTATGTAAATCTAATTGAAAATATGACTGGTAAAAAGATAAAGAAATTGCGTTGTGATAATGGTAAAGAGTATATAAATAATGAAGTGTTTAAGTTTGCATGCGAAAAAGGAATTGAAATAGAAACTTGTCCACCATATGTGCATGAACTGAATGGAACCGCAGAGAAATATAATAGGGACATAATGGATATGTCTAGATGTTTGTTAGCAGAAGCAAGGGTACATAGACGTTATTGGCCGGAAATTGTTAAAACAGCGACTTATTTAAAAAATAGAATTATAACAAATACAATTGTCAAAAATAAAACTCCTTATGAAATAATGTTTGGAGTAAAACCGAGCGTAGAATATTTAAAACTGTATGGTAGTAGGGTTTTCGTAAGAATACCTGAACATAAAAGACAATCAAAATGGGATAAGAAAGCAAATCTTGGTATTTTGCTAGGTTATGAAAAAGTGGGGTACAGAGTCTTGATAAATAATAAAATAATTGTTGCTAGACATGTTGATATAATTGAAGAGGGCACACCGTGTATTGGTCTTGAGTCAGTAGACAATAATGAAAGCTTTTCTAAGATTCGTCTAAATGATAATTGTAATGAAAATGAAAACGAAAATCGAAATGGTAATCAAAGTTCAAATGATTGTAGTAATAATGAAAATATGGAGCTAAGACGTTCAATGAGAGAAAGAAAAAAACCGGCTAGCCTTAATGAAAACGATTTTGTTTGTAATAATATCATCTATGTAAATTATGTAGACGCAAGTAATCCTATTTCCTATACCGAAGCGATGAGTAGTAAAAGTCCTGAAAGATGGAAAGAGGCGATGAATAAAGAAATAGAGTGTTTAAATAAAAACAAAACTTGGATATATGTCGAAAAACCGAATGACAAAAAAATATTAGATCTTAAATGGGTGTATACTATAAAAGCTGATGATGTATATAAAGCAAGATTGGTTGTAAGGGGTTTTCAGCAAAATGAACTGATTGATGATATTTATTCACCTGTCGCGAGAATGCAAACGTTAAAAATTTTATTGTCATACTGTTGTAGTAATAACTTAATTATAATACAAATGGATGTTGAAACAGCCTTTTTAAACGGCAAAGTTAAATCTGAAGTGTATGTAAAGCAACCTCAAGGTTTCGAGGATGGAACTGATAGAGTATTAAAACTAGATAAGGCACTGTACGGTCTTAGAGAAAGCCCGAGAGCGTGGTATGAGTGTTTTGATGAATATTTGAGATACTTAAACTTCAAGAGAAGTGAAAATGATAACTGTTTGTATGTTTTAAAAGAGGAGGATCATAATATATACTTAATTTTGTTTGTCGATGATTTACTAATTTGTTGCAAAGATGTAGAAAAGTTAAATAATATTAAAAAATTGTTAATGAAAAGATTTCAAATGAAAGACTTAGGCTATATTAAAACTTATTTAGGTATCAATATCGATTATGACTATGTTCATGGGAAAATGACTTTGGATCAGAAAAATTATATTGTATCATTAGGAAAAAAATATGATCTTGAAAATTGTAAGTTGTTTGCGACTCCGATGGAGCAAAATTTAAAATTAGTACCTGCGAAAGCAGTGAGTGAACAAATTAAATATAGAAATTTGATTGGTGCATTATTATATATAAGTTCAGGTACAAGACCTGACATAAGCTTTAGTGTGAACTATCTAAGTCGGTTCCAGAACTACTATGACAATACTCATTATAAATATGCATTAAGAGTCCTTAAATATTTATTGTTGACCAAAGATTTGAAGTTAACATATTATAAGAATGATGAATCTGATATTCTAAGTTGTTATGTAGATGCCGATTGGGCAGGCGATGTAACTGACAGAAAATCTACGACTGGTTACGTAATAAAAATGTATAACAATGTAATATTTTGGAAATCCAAGAAACAGAATAGCGTAACAAAATCCTCTACATCTGCTGAGTATGTAGCGTTATCAGAGTGTGTGAGTGAATTAAAAATTGTAAAAGACATATTGTCAGATTTAGGTATTAAGGTTTCAGTACCGGTAAAAATTTATGAAGATAATTCAGGTGCAGTAAGCATAGCTAAACATGGTAATTTTACTAAAAATTCAAAATATATTGAAACGCATTATCATTTTGTGAATGAAAGTTATATAAACAAAATTATTGATGTTGTAAAAGTAAATTCGGAGAAAAATGTTGCTGACATTCTCACCAAATCCTTAGGTATTGTTAAATTCGAAAAATTCAGGGAAGCACTATGTATTCTATAAACTATTTATGATTTATAATTAAATCGCGATGCAAATTTAAGGAGGCGTGTTAAGTTGGTACTAAATTTGTATCGCGCGACACCTATGTAAGAGGATGAGATAGTGGAGTGAGGCAGTTGGAGCATAGCTGTTGCCGAGTAGATATGTAAAATCATTTTATGTTTAATAAAGTTTACGTTTTGTATTATTTAAAAAACAGTAATTATTATTTAATGAGAAATCATGAATAAATTAACAGGGTGGTTTGCTTTAAGCATAAACACACCCTCCAGCTTGACCATAACATTTTCAAATGTCATGTTATCAAGCATTTCATTTAACGTGTCTATTTCAAGAGCTGTAGGAATGAAAAGAATTGTTAGTTTACATGCAAACATATATTTTATAGTTGATCAACTTTTATTTAATTTAGTGTAGCGAGAATTTGGCCCGTAGTTCGAGACAAAGAGCCAGTAATGCGTCTTTCATTTGTTTGTTTATTATTATTTTTTTTTCATCTACATTCCTTCGCTCGTTGTCTAGCACTCGTTTTCCCGTTCAACTGTCTGATCATGCGCACAACTCGTCAATTGTCGTCACAATGGACTCTCAAATTCCCGCCAAGCCAAACCTCGCCGCACGATCGTGCTTAGTTTCTAATTTATTTGTACTTAATCATGATTTTTTTTTATTTTTATACTAGGCCTAGATTTTAAATAACCTTTATTCAGTAAAATGAACAATGATTTCTTTGTTTTAGCTAAACATTGGACACTCGTTGACTATTTTCCAAACCGTGTCATCACTCGTCAAACCGCCTTTCATTTAATAATGTATACATTAATTTTCTTGTTCATTTTACTTTAAAAGAATTGATACTAACTCGACGACACTGTCGATCCTTCTTTGTCTTTGTTTTCAGCCATTGAAACTGCAAGTCTTCTTTGTTAGATTTTCCAAAATCACTTACACGTTTCTCTATACTACACCTTTTATAATTTAACAAACACTTTATTAATCTGCTCAGTGAAAGCGAGCTCTGGGCCCATAACCTGTTAGAGGTTATGAGGATTTAAACAATAATAATAAGACTTAGTTTAATTAGAAATTAGAACTTTATTTATCAATGAATATATTATTGAACCGTAATAGACGACCAACTTGAATCAAGTGAAGAGCACGACGAGAGACGTTAGCCGAAAGGCTACGGGGGAAACCGATTAGGGCCGAACACTCGTACAGGCCCTATACACTCAAATATGTCGGAGACGCTGATTTCCAACATTATAAATTTTGTGGTTGGCTATAAATAATGTCTTATTGCAATATCATATTTTTCACCATTTTCATAAGACATTATTTTATTGAACTTTTTTCTATTTCAGGAAAATAAGAAACTGGCTTGGCAAAGTAATAAAAAAGCAGAAAATACACCTATGTAGCATAGAAACTACTCAAAATTGTTATAAATTTTGTGGTTGGCTATAAATAATGTCTTATTGAAATATCATATTTTTTACTATTTCTATAAGACATTATTTCATTGAACTTTTTTCTATTTCAGAAAAAATAAGAAACTGGCTTTGCAGAGTAATGAAAAAGCAGAAAATACACCTATGTAGCATAGAAACTATCCAAAATTGTTATAAATTTTGTGGTTGGCTTCAAATAATGTCTTATTGCAATATCATATTTTTTACTATTTCTATAAGACATTATTTTATTGAACTTTTTTCTATTTCAGAAAAATAAAAAACTGGCTTGGCAAAGTAATAAAAAAGCAGAAAATACACCTATGTAGCATAGAAACTACTCAAAATTGTTATAAATTTTGTGGTTGGCTTCAAATAATGTCTTATTGCAATATCATATTTTTCACCATTTTCATGAGACATTATTTTATTGAACTTTTTTCTATTTCAGAAAAATAAAAAACTGGCTTGGCAAAGTAATAAAAAAGCAGAAAATACACCTATGTAGCATAGAAACTACTCAAAATTGTTATAAATTTTGTGGTTAGCTATAAATAATGTCTTATTGAAATATCATATTTTTTACTATTTCTATAAGACATTATTTCATTGAACTTTTTTCTATTTCAGAAAAAATAAGAAACTGGCTTGGCAAAGTAATAAAAAAGCAGAAAATACACCTATGTAGCATAGAAACTACTCAAAATTGTTATAAATTTTGTGGTTAGCTATAAATAATGTCTTATTGAAATATCATATTTTTTACTATTTCTATAAGACATTATTTCATTGAACTTTTTTCTATTTCAGAAAAAATAAGAAACTGGCTTTGCAGAGTAATGAAAAAGCAGAAAATACACCTATGTAGCATAGAAACTATCCAAAATTGTTATAAATTTTGTGGTTGGCTTCAAATAATGTCTTATTGCAATATCATATTTTTCACCATTTTCATAAGACATTATTTTATTGAACTTTTTTCTATTTCAGAAAAAATAAGAAACTGGCTTTGTAGAGTAATGAAAAAGCAGAAAATATACCTATGTAGCATAGAAACTACTCAAAATTGTTATAAATTTTGTGGTTGGCTATAAATAATGTCTTATTGAAATATCATATTTTTTACTATTTCTATAAGACATTATTTCATTGAACTTTTTTCTATTTCAGAAAAAATAAAAAACTGGCTTAGCAGAGAAATAAAAAAGCAGAAAATACACCTATGTAGCATAGAAACTACTCAAAATTGTTATAAATTTTGTGGTTGGCTTCAAATAATGTCTTATTGCAATATCATATTTTTTACTATTTCTATAAGACATTATTTCATTGAACTTTTTTCTATTTCAGAAAAAATAAGAAACTGGCTTTGCAGAGTAATGAAAAAGCAGAAAATACACCTATGTAGCATAGAAACTATCCAAAATTGTTATAAATTTTGTGGTTGGCTTCAAATAATGTCTTATTGCAATATCATATTTTTCACTATTTTCATAAGACATTATTTCATTGAACTTTTTTCTATTTCAGGAAAATAAAAAACTGGCTTTGCAGAGTAATAAAAAAGCAGAAAATACACCTATGTAGCATAGAAACGATCCAAAATTGTAATTAATTTTGTGGTTGGCTTCAAATAATGTCTTATTGCAATATCATATTTTTCACCATTTTCATAAGACATTATTTCATTGAACTTTTTTCTATTTCAGGAAAATAAGAAACTGGCTTGGCAAAGTAATAAAAAAGCAGAAAATACACCTATGTAGCATAGAAACGATCCAAAATTGTTATAAATTTTGTAGTTGGCTTCAAATAATGTCTTATTGCAAGATCATATTTTTCACTGTTTTCATAAGACATTATTTTATTGAACTGTTTTCTATTTCAGAAAAAATAAGAAACTGGCTTTGCAGAGTAATAAAAAAGCAGATAATACACCTATGTAGCATAGAAACTACTCAAAATTGTTATAAATTTTGTGGTTGGCTTCAAATAATGTCTTATTGAAATATCATATTTTTTACTATTTCTATAAGACATTATTTTATTGAACTTTTTTCTATTTCAGAAAAATAAAAAACTGGCTTGGCAAAGTAATAAAAAAGCAGAAAATACACCTATGTAGCATAGAAACTACTCAAAATTGTTATAAATTTTGTGGTTGGCTATAAATAATGTCTTATTGCAATATCATATTTTTCACTATTTTCATAAGACATTATTTCATTGAACTTTTTTCTATTTCAGGAAAATAAAAAACTGGCTTTGCAGAGTAATAAAAAAGCAGAAAATACACCTATGTAGCGTAGAAACTATCCAAAATTGTAATTAATTTTGTGGTTGGCTTCAAATAATGTCTTATTGCAATATCATATTTTTCACTATTTTCATAAGACATTATTTTATTGAACTTTTTTCTATTTCAGAAAAAATAAGAAACTGGCTTTGCAGAGTAATGAAAAAGCAGAAAATATACCTATGTAGCATAGAAACTATCCAAAATTGTTATAAATTTTGTGGTTGGCTTCAAATAATGTCTTATTGCAATATCATATTTTTCACTGTTTTCATAAGACATTATTTTATTGAACTTTTTTCTATTTCAGAAAAAATAAGAAACTGGCTTTGCAGAGTAATAAAAAAGCAGAAAATACACCTATGTAGCATAGAAACGATCCAAAATTGTAATTAATTTTGTGGTTGGCTTCAAATAATGTCTTATTGCAATATCATATTTTTCACCATTTTCATAAGACATTATTTCATTGAACTTTTTTCTATTTCAGGAAAATAAGAAACTGGCTTGGCAAAGTAATAAAAAAGCAGAAAATACACCTATGTAGCATAGAAACTACTCAAAATTGTTATAAATTTTGTGGTTGGCTTTAAATAATGTCTTATTGCAATATCATATTTTTCACCATTTTCATAAGACATTATTTTATTGAACTTTTTTCTATTTCATAAAAAATAAGAAACTGGCTTTGCAGAGTAATGAAAAGGAGAAAATACACCTATGTAGCATAGAAACTACTCAAAATTGTTATAAATTTTGTGGTTGGCTATAAATAATGTCTTATTGCAATATCATATTTTTCACTATTTTCATAAGACATTATTTCATTGAACTTTTTTCTATTTCAGGAAAATAAAAAACTGGCTTTGCAGAGTAATAAAAAAGCAGAAAATACACCTATGTAGCGTAGAAACTATCCAAAATTGTAATTAATTTTGTGGTTGGCTTCAAATAATGTCTTATTGCAATATCATATTTTTCACTATTTTCATAAGACATTATTTTATTGAACTTTTTTCTATTTTAGAAAAAATAAGAAACTGGCTTGGCAGAGAAATAAAAAAGCAGAAAATACACCTATGTAGCATAGGAACTATCCAAAATTGTTATAAATTTTGTGGTTGGCTTCAAATAATGTCTTATTGCAATATCATATTTTTCACCATTTTCATGAGACATTATTTTATTGAACTTTTTTCTATTTCAGAAAAAATAAAAAACTGGCTTGGCAGAGAAATAAAAAAGCAGAAAATACACCTATGTAGCATAGAAACTACTCAAAATTGTTATAAATTTTGTGGTTGGCTTCAAATAATGTCTTATTGCAATATTATATTTTTCACTATTTTCATAAGACATTATTTTATTGAACTTTTTTCTATTTCAGAAAAAATAAGAAACTGGCTTTGCAGAGTAATGAAAAAGCAGAAAATACACCTATGTAGCATAGAAACTACTCAAAATTGTTATAAATTTTGTGGTTGGCTATAAATAATGTCTTATTGCAATATCATATTTTTCACTATTTTCATAAGACATTATTTCATTGAACTTTTTTCTATTTCAGGAAAATAAAAAACTGGCTTTGCAGAGTAATAAAAAAGCAGAAAATACACCTATGTAGCGTAGAAACTATCCAAAATTGTAATTAATTTTGTGGTTGGCTTCAAATAATGTCTTATTGCAATATCATATTTTTCACTATTTTCATAAGACATTATTTTATTGAACTTTTTTCTATTTCAGAAAAAATAAGAAACTGGCTTTGCAGAGTAATGAAAAAGCAGAAAATACACCTATGTAGCATAGAAACTACTCAAAATTATTATAAATTTTGTGGTTGGCTATAAATAATGTCTTATTGCAATATCATATTTTTCACTATTTTCATAAGACATTATTTCATTGAACTTTTTTCTATTTCAGGAAAATAAAAAACTGGCTTTGCAGAGTAATAAAAAAGCAGAAAATACACCTATGTAGCATAGAAACGATCCAAAATTGTAATTAATTTTGTGGTTGGCTTCAAATAATGTCTTATTGCAATATCATATTTTTCACCATTTTCATAAGACATTATTTCATTGAACTTTTTTCTATTTCAGGAAAATAAGAAACTGGCTCGGCAAAGTAATAAAAGAGCCGAAAATACACCTATGTAGCATAGAAACTACCTAAAATTGTTATAAATTTTTAAATTTTCGAAATAAATAAAAATAAAAATTAAATAATTTTTAACGTTGTCGTCTTGAGACAGCACGCTCGGAGAGCGCGCGTTGTTTCTAGTAACCTTATTGAACAAAAAAATTAATTTGGAAGAAGAAAATTTTTTTGGAAGTTTGGTGACTGTCTTCAAAATTCCAATTCGTCATTAAACTTTCATTTTGATCGCACGAAATGTTACCGAACTTTCACTTGCACGTATATATACTACTATATAAATTTCTGGTGTCTATCTGTCTGTACGGGGTAATCTCCAAAACGGTTAATTCGATTGCGACCAAATTTA